CTCGGTATGCTGCGCGTGTTGCTGTATGTCGCGTGTGGCATGGATAGACAGATGACTAAAATATGTCAGTCTTTAGAGAGAAAAGCCACACACAAACAAGCACTGGTGGTTCCTCTTTACAACATTAAAGTGTAATGTTTACAGTCAGAAAAGACAAATCCCTTGTCATGCGGATATTTATGAATTGTTGACAATTTCGCTTCGCATTTCGGAATAATAAGTATGTTTTCATGAACTTTCAGCGCGTACGAATGATCATTTAGGAAGTGAACGAGTGTTATGTAATTTACATAAAGATCCGGGGTTGGTTTTTCTCTTTCGTTCTTTTTATTTTGGGTTCGAGTGTGTGTGTTTGTGTGTGTGTGTTGTTGTGTGTGTTGTGTGTGTGTGTGTGTGTGTGTGTGTGTGTTGTGTGATGTGTGTGTGTGTGTGTGTCGTGTGTGTGTGTCTGTGTGTGTGTGTGTGTGGCGTGTGTGTGTGTGTGTGCTGTGTGTCTGTGTGTGTGTGTGTGTGTGTTCGTGTGTGTGTGTGTCTGTGTGTTGTTCGTGTTGTTGTGTGTGTGTGTTCGTGTGTGTGTGTGTGTGTGTGTTGTGTGTGTGTTCTGTGTGTGTGTGTGTGTGTGTGTGTGTGTCTGTGTGTGCTGTGTGTTTGTGTGTGTGTGTTTGTTGTGTGTGTGCGTGCGTGTGTGTGTGTGTGTGTGTTCGTGTGTGTGTGTGTGTGTGTGTGTTTGTGTGTGTGTGTGTAGTGTGTGTGTGTGTGTGTGTGTATGTGTGTGTGTGTGTGTGTGGTGTGTGGTGTGTGTGTATGTGTGTGTGTGTGTGTGTGTGTGTGTGTTGATGTGTGTGTGTGTGTGTGCGGGTCGTGTGCTTGTGTTTGCTGGGCAAATAAACCAGTATTTTTTCATATATGAATCATATAAAATTCTACTAAATATTCATAGAGATTTTCAGCTTTATATTTTGGTTCGAGCTTCTAGTCCTAAAAATATGAAATAGTGATGAAACAAACATTAAAACTCTAGAGAAAATATTTATCATAAAAAAAACATTTGTTTCCTATAAATCTGGCATAAACATTTTAAAACTCTTAGAAGAAAATGTTTATCATAAAAAAACATTTGTTTCCTATAAATCTGGGTATAAACATTTTAAAACTCTTAGAAAAAATGTAATCATAAAAAAAACATTTGTTTCCTATAATCTGGCATAAACATTTTTAAAACTCTTAGAAAAAAAAATGTTAATCATAAAAAAAACATTTGTTTCCTATACAATCTGGCATAAACAATTTTAAAACTCTTAAAGAAAATATTAATCATAAAAAAAACATTTGTTTCCTATAAACCTGGTATAAACATCACAACAAATCACAACTAACATTTCTTTCAACCCTTTCACTACATATATATCTAAATGTTTCCCATTATTCTCCGTGAAAGCTCCGCCAGCCGGGGTAATCACTGCAATAATTGTAATAATATATTGTTTTTCCTCTCTCTTCCGAAACGCCAATCATTTTATTTTTATTTTTATCGGACAGTCCATCTCGATTCGGGTGAATGAAATAACGAAATGTAATCTGTCAGGATTGTTGATGTGATTGAGAGATTAAGGGAGAGGGTAGGGAGAGGGGAGGGGGAGGGAGAGGGATTCGGATGCTGAACAGCACAGTAAAGGACTACGCATTATGGCCCAGATGACCGTGTGACCTCTTCGCCCGTTTGTATAACATGCCGAACAACAACAGTTGGCGGTCTGCTTGTACGAACCAGCAGTTACCTCGAGTGGCAATGGGGTATGCAAAGGAGCTTGTTGTGCCCGCCGCCAGGCCGCCGAGTAACCCCAAGTCGTTGGAACGGGCAGGGAGACGCCACCTTGCCGCTGCCGAGGTGACAGAGGCCTTGGGACAGGCTACGTTGCAGCACTCTAATTAGGTCATGTATCCCAGTGCGTGTAAGAACGTTTCCGTTGCCCGACAAAAGCGAGCGCTAGTCCGCCGGTGCAGTTGATTGCGTAAAGTGAACTATTACTCATAGTGACTGACGATTCGCGAGTTAAGTGCCGATCATTGTGTTTATATTTTTGTGTTGTATTGTGTGCGTTATTCGTTTGTAATAGTGTTGTGTATATATGTTTTTCTGTTGCATGTGTCGTATTCGTTATAGATTGTATTTCTAATGTCCGCATATTAAGTTTTCATTTG